ATCACAAATTGCGTTATAAATTAAAAAAGAATATTATTATTCCTTACAAAAATACTTGTATAAAAAAACTCGATATATTAGCAAAACAATTGATAATTAGTAAAAAGAATGTTACTAGTAGCTAAGAATTTTTTTAAATTTTTACTAGCTAAGAGATTGACGAAAAGAGTAACTACGAAGAATTTGCCTAAAAAGTTTGCTATAGTTCCCATCAAAGCCTATATTTTCTCATTTCTTGTGTAACGTTAATCCCCTCTTTAATGTGTTTATATTTGCGACATTCTATTGTTAGATAGGTTAATGTCTATTATTCAAATGCCAAATTTCTTGACTTGTAGTCATTGTAGTAGTTTGTAATCCTTTGTCACTTTGTGTGCCACAAAGCTTGTTATTGAGAAGCATTACTATACATGTATCTTTTCAAACAATTATTTCTATTTGGTTAGCTGCATTAATTCTTGGTAGTTACCATATTATAGTATGTATAGTACCCTTTGAATCATAATCAAGCAATGTATAGCGGTATTGGATAATTTGATTAATTATGTGGAGTTGCACACCAACTCATTGACGTAATGGACCTTACAAATGAAAAAATTATTCAAACTTTGCTAAAATTTAATTGTTACCTAACTAATAATTAACTACATTTATAGTCTAACATGGACAATGAAACACAATTATATAGTAACATCGAGTCTATATATATCTACTCACTTGCTCAGTGTCCTTACAAATTTATAATTCTTTAAGATAAATATGTCCATGTCAATTGTCATGCACGCGTTTACATAATACATATTACGTGTAATACGTATTGGTACTTCGTTAAGCTTATGCTGACCACATTTACTGTGCTAGGTACGAGTATTGCATTCCCCCCCCCCTCTACCATAATTAAGTTTATATATGACTCATGATTGCGATTATTGTACCATGATTGGTTCATATTTTTGACATATCCTTTGAGGCAACTTTGATAGAAAAAAGGTTTAGTCATCAAATGTTACGAGTACAATGAAATTGAAAGGAGCGACATTGAGTTGCTTTGATTGTGACCAACGTAAGACCAAGAACAAACTAGACAAGCTACACGTTTGGTTGGGACTAAACTTTGTCAACAATTTACGCATATTATTTAATTAATTTTTTTTTGAACAACAATTTATGCATATTATTAATCAATTTAAGATTGCAGTTGGATTTATTAATTATTGTTCAAGATGATCGAATTGACAAAATATAATTTCAGCCATTTTATTTTAATTTTGACAAAGGAGAATGTAATTAATTTTATAAAAGAGATTAATGTAGTTAGCTCATGTCGTTCTCAATCCAATGCAACTATGCAAGACAATGAGCTTTTTGATCTTGCTTGAAAGACATGATTCGTTCTAATGCATCACCTTAATTATCAATTTTACTTTTATTTTTAATTGTTGATTATTTATTTATTTATTTATTTTTTAATAATGTAGCTTAAATCAACTCTAATTTTACAATGCAATATTATGTATAAAGTACATGTCCTATATCAACTCTATCTACAAAAAGCCTTACTAATTTTATTTATTTCGTATATTGTTTGCTTGCTTGGTGATATAAATTCCGTATCGTACAACTAAAGAGCATACATGTTATGAAATATATCCGATCATAGGGTTAATGATTTAGCCTTATGGGGGTTTACTTTTATTTGGAGAGTTTATTGATGATGTGTGATTTTTGGATAAAACTTATTTTTACATAACTTTTTTCTTACTGATAGCTAGCTAGATTTAAATTTTTTTAGTAAATGAAAACAAATTGTGGAGCCTTAAAAAAAAAAAAAAAGGGTAAAAAAACAAGGGTAGTTTGTGCATTTTTATACAAGTATATAGTGAAAGAAAATGGTGTTTAATTGTAGGTGATGGGAAAGTAGAGATATTGAATAAAATGACCTATCGAAGAGATCATACAATAATGGAATTTTTTTTCAATGACGCCTAATTCTCAAGGGGAATGGAGATCGATTAAAAAAATAATATTAATAAAACTATTGTCCTCCTTTAATTTTTTATGACAGTAGCTAGTCTTTATATATGCTTTTTCGAATGTCAAAAATACAAAAAGGGAAAGAAAAAAAAAAAAAAACGTATTTTTAATATAATTTATATACTTGTAGTTGAAGTGGTAGAGGTGGCTATGATGTTTCGATGCAAACGTTAGCCAGAACAATGGACCATTCCCCATGCGGCCATATACCATGCATGAATGCAAGTGTGTGCTGTATTGCATGTGGATATAAATTAGCTCACCCTTTTAAAGCGGTTTTTATACCACCTTCCTAAATCCAAACACTTGCTTTTTTATCCCCTATCCATAATTCTTACCATTTTCATTATTGGTTGTCACCCAAAGCACATACGTGAGGAGATTAGATCAAAAGAATTGTCGCTTTCTTATCATTTTTATGAAAATTAAATGTAAGAGAAGGTTTTGCGTGAGACCGGACTCATCGTGAGTCCAATATGTCTGACAATGATATTATAATATTTGACAATAATAATCTAATTCCAAACAATAATAATCTAATACCTGACAATAATAATATAATACCAAATAAATAATAATAATAATAATAATAATCTCCTTCACCACTGACCCTCTTCTTCTTCCATGGCTACAATAATATTTTCTCTCTTCTCAACCCTCAGATTTCACATCATCTCTAACAAGCCCTAACAATTCATCTCCATCCGACACCTTCCCCTCCAAACTCACACTCAAAGCTCTCCTCGACTTAATCACCGCAGCATGGCATCCGAACAGTCCTCGATGCCAAAAAAGCAGCAGCAGCAGCAAACGCCGTAAAGGATGAAAGCAGGTTGGATGTGGAGGAGTGTGACGGAGTCAGAGGGACAGAGGTAGTTTTGGACGGCCTATTGAACAGTGATGGCGCTCTTGTCGCTGAGATCGACGGGAATTGCGATATTCCTATGGGGTTCGTCGCTGGTGGCGAAAGTGGTGGTGGAGGAAGACGGTGGAAGTGGATAACGAGATGATGATGGTTGGATTTCGATTAGCGAGAGTTGATGAATGAATGGTGTTGTGAGTGTTGGCGGCGGACTCACGGTGAGTCCGTCTCACCCAAAACTTTACCTAAATGTAATCATTATACATGTATTTACATATTAGTTGATTGATTTTCTGCATAATAAATAAGGTTTGACTTATAGGATTAGTAGCAACAGAAACACATACATCCAATTGTAGATTAACAACAAGTGAGATTTTCTAACAAGTGTTCATGGGCAATAGTTAAGCTAAGATAGAGAATGAAACTATTATAAAGCATCTCCTTCATAAGAAATCAATAAGATGATTTTCATCTTTAATGACTTTAAAAAAACCCTTATATACATTCAAGCTTGACACAACACGATAAAAAGTCAACTAGTCACACATAAACTTAAAACCCAGTCAAGTCGCCTTTTAGGTACTACCTTATATATTCCATTTTAAGTGATCACCAATAATAGATTTGATTGTGCATTAATAATCAACTAACATAGATTAAACATGTTTAGGATTAACTTGATGTGTGTATGTTGATCGAAAAGCGTATCATAAGAATTGAGTATTTAGGGCGGGTTAAATCTCTTTAAGGTTGGATTCGTACCATCATCCCCGAACATCCAGTCATGGTTCTGGACTACAATGGAGTTAACGATTTCCGTGATCGTGAATGGGGTGTAACCTTCACACCCGTGAACAGTTTATAAGTTCCTAAAACTTGTTGGCGACTACCTTATATATTCCATTTCAAGACAAGCTTTATTGGAATTGGTTAGTGGTTGCTAATGTCCAATTTCCTTACACAAATCCAACAATATTTAATTGAATTCTACAATTATTTAATCTAAATTACAATTGTGTTACATTGGTCCAAGCCAATTACAATGCTTTATTTCTAACGACTCAATACTTAGGCCTTGTTTAGTTCACCTTATTTGAACTTATCTGATTTAGTCTGATCTGATCTAATCTTAATGTCTGATTTGACCAAACTTTGACCTTAAGTGTACGATAATATATAAAGAAAAAATATATCAAGTGGGATCTTGTTAGATTCGAAATAATGTGTATTGTATTAATATGTAATTTTCATAATTTTTTTCATTACGAAATTAAAGATATTTAGCAACAAAAAATTGCATATAAAACGATGATCTGATTTGAACTTATTTTTTCTGAAATAAGTAAAAATAAGTTGAATTAAACAAGACCTAAGCACATCCTAACAAACATACAAATTGATAATATCCAAGCATAAGCCATACATCATAGAACCATAAAGTAATTAGCTTCCACGTTTTAGTATTAAACTAAACTTATTGACATTCATACGACAATGTATTGTATTGTATTACGAATATACATCGAGCGTATTTAATTCGAAACAATAGTTCATTTAGTCCACCTAATTACCCCTCTTCTACAAATGATAAACCCCACTAAAAGGGGAAACAAAGCCGCAAAACGAGAGAAATTACACATAATTTTGTCTATTAAACATACCCGCGCTATAAACAACAAACCCACAAAAACCACCCTCCAACTTTCTCTCTCCTCCTTCTCTCTCTCTCTCCTCAGATCCACTCCCATGGATCTCTCACCGTCGACACCGCCGGCGACGACATCTCCCACCGTCGTCGTCGGCGGCGCAAAGAAAGAACCCAAAAACTCCGGTCAAAAACTCCGGCTAATGGTCAGCTTCAACGGCCACATCCTCCCTCGTCCTCACGACAAAACCCTTTTCTACGCCGGCGGTGAAACCCGCATTATCTCTATCCCTCGAAATTCCTCACTTTCTCTCTCCTCCCTTTTCTCTCACATCGCTAAATCCTTCTTTAATGGGTCCCTCAATTTTCTCCTCAAATACCAGCTCCCTAACCATGACCTCGACTCCCTCATTTCTATCTCCTCTGATGAAGATCTCTACAATATGATTGATGAATATGATCGACTTTTGTCTTGGTTCGCGTATCAGATTCTTTCTGTTTAAGAAAGAGGAACCTGTTCGTGATTTGAAATGTGATGATGATTGGTTTGCTGATGCGCTCAAGGTCGCGAGTTCGAGTCCTGCCAATAATAATAATAATAATAATAATAATAATAATAATAATAATAATAATAATAATAAATAATACCAATAATAATAGTAATGATTCTTCGTCGTCGGCGCCGGAATCGATTGTTTTGGAGAGTAGTTCGTCGTTTGGGTCAAATAGTTCGTCTTCGAATTCTCCCGGGAAGAATAATAAAGTGGGTGTTGCGGATGATTTTAAGGTGGTTTTGCCTTCTGTTGATTCTCTGGGAAGGTAATTTAGTTTACTATTTTTCAAATTTTGAATTTATATTTTTTATTTACTTTCGTAATTTTATTATTATTATTATTATCATTTTTTGTGGGATGAACTTTGAGTAATTGAAGATGGAGGATGAAATATCAAATATGTGGGTTTTGTTTGGTTAATTTCTAGGATAAAATTTGAAGAATTATTTGTTCATAAAGTACAGAAATTATTTAAGTTTTCAAGTATGATGTTTTCCTGCAATTTATTTGATTTAATTGAGAAATGAAAGAAAGCAAACATAGCTATCATATTATCTGCCTGAAATTACAATATTCAAGTTTAATGAGCTTTAGGTTTTTGCAATGTTTTGGTTTGGATGGATGGTGATTCATTCTATTAAGAGGAAGTACAAAATGTCAACGTTTTTTTTAAAAAAAATAAATAAAAATATTGTGATGTCAATTAGAAGTAGTTAATTGTCTTTGTAGATATCTAGCTAGATTGCAGCGGAATGTTGTTTGAACTGGATCCATAGGCGGAATTCGTTCTTTCGGGTAGTTGGTACTTTGTACGGAGTACATGTTTTGTGTTTTTGTAACTAGGTTGTGTATATCATTGAGTTAATTGGCGATATTTGGGTTATTATGGTGGTTTTCCTGAAACACTGAAACAGTATCCGTAAAGATATAGATTGGTTAGAGCTAAGACTTTCAATGGACTTTTGGAATGACCGAGGTATGTCAATGGTGGTGGTGGTGGTGATGGTGATGATTGTTGGATGTACAGAAACGGGGTGAATGAATATTGTGCAGTTATACACGGAGTAGGCTATTCAGGTTTCGGTCGCATGTGTTGATTGTCCAGCAGTTAGGTCTATATGACCTGGGCAAAACCTCTCCATGTATGGTGATAATTTGCAGTGGCTATATGAGATTTGATTTTTGAAAGTGGTGATTGCTTTAGTGATTGGAAATCCTTTGCTGTTTTATGTTTGATGCTAAGTATAGGAAAGGAAAGGTTGCGGAGGTGTGATAATTTTTATGAAGTACTGGGGTCCGTGATCTTCATTCGCCATGCCAAATGCTCTAGGCTTTATGCAATATTTTGAGAAGCTCCAAGAATTTTCAATGGGTTTCTTTATGTTGAGGCTGTACATTCGTACATGCTTCGTGGTCAGTCTTGATATTTACTTACATGATGCTAGTCCAAGTTTCCAAATTAATATGCACATGTTTATAAATCAATTCTGTCAGTAATAATGCCATAATTGTCTCCCTATGCAGTGATCCTTTGATGACCAGATCTCAGTGTAAATTATGTATATGCCTTTGCTTTCCTGTGTTGTCTGTCATTAAGCCTGTTGACCACCAGCAAATGTGCATTGGGCTCATTGTCTTTCAATAAAGTAAACATTAGGTTTAATTATCATCTACTATAGTTCGTTAAGAATTTGGTGACTATCTAAGGATTAGAACATTTTCTTATTTTAAATTTCTTTTAATTATGTTTTTGGGTGGGGTGTTTGCATATACATATTAATTGCTAGTAGTAAGGGAAGCTGTTAGATGTAAGTAATATTTTGGATCTTAAGACTAGTCTACAATTGATCCTACACTTATTTCTTCGTAGTTTGATTTCTCCACTTTACATTCTGAACTCTGCATTTATAATATATACGAAGTATTTTCTGAAACGAATGTCAGTTTATTGTGGCGTTGCGTAATGCATTGATGGATCATGTCTTGGAATGCTGTGTTCTAGCATTCACCTATTGGTCATCTTGAGTAACTAATCTTGGTAGTTTCATGGATTGTTGTATTTTACAGTGACTGCAGCATTCCCAGCCCAAACTTCAGCCAGCAAGGAATTGTGTATCAAGACGCATCAGGATTTTTTGACTCTAATCCTGCTTCTGTGAACCCTGTTGAGACTGAAAGCAATGCTTCTGATCGTTCTCCTCGGAGTGATATTCTGACTTCTGTTCAGGTTTCTGGTTATATGGTATCTAAACCAATGGGTAAACCTCAGCACCAGTCCCCACCTCAGCCACCATCACTAGCAACAGCAACGCCACATTACATTCACTATGCTGCTCCTCAATCCAATTATGCTCCCCAATATTACCCAAATTCTATACCTGTTGCATCTTATACTCCAATGTATCCAACTTATGTCCAACCACATCAACCTGTCCAATATCAGCTAAATAAGCCATACCCAGTCTACATGATGCCTATGGGGCAAACACAAAATCTGTATGATGCGTCTATGCCTTGTACTATGACAACTGCACCAAACGTTGCTAGGAGTCAACCCCATGTGCCTTCAAATCCTGTTGTGGTTTCACCCCGATAATTTATGAAGGTTACAGTAAACCTGCTACTCCAGCATCTGAATATGCTTCTGAAGTATACATGCCAACTGCAATGGCAACCCAACCTGTGACTTTGCCTGCAGTGCATCAACCAGCTCAGCCTGTTACTGTTCCTCCCATTGAAAAAACTAATAATATCAGTGAATATGAAGATCCTATGCATGCCCAGATATACAAAACTCAACCTTCTGGTCTTATATTGCCTTCTCAGCTTCAAATGGCACAAAGTGCAGCAACAGCGATGCTTCCAGAAAGTTTCACTCAGTTACAGTTGGAGAGTACTAAACATTGAGGATTCTGACCAACGGAAAAGTGCTGCTTCGAAAAACAGTTTTGAGTAAGAAACATAGAGTTCAACAGTGTAATTTCATTTTCCCTGCTTTTCCTCCACTTTTCTTTTTGTATTGCAGTATATCGTCTTGTTGCTCTAATACATGTTTGTTTAGTATACATATTTTTGACCTTTTTTTTTCTTACTTTTTTTATATTCACAAGCTTAATCAAAGAAAAGGTGCTTTTTCTGTAAGCATTGTGGTTCTGATTATGTAACATTTTGGTGAAGTAATGTATAAGTATTTGCTGTTATCTTGGATTTGTTATTGAAGTATCAAAAATGATTAATTGATTCTTTTGTATCTATCGTCAGTATCTTATGATTCTTATCTAGGAATCTGGTTGTGTCCTTGGTCCGTACTTGAAGACGCAGGAAACTGCAGAATTATATAAGTGAAATTTCACGTGGAATCAAAATTTGGAAATTAGTTGGCGAATCTTTACATGCATACTTATCATATCCTACTAATCTAATATACTCTATGTACTGATTACAAAATCTCCCAAAATAAAGAATCTGAAGAATCTGGCTTGTATGTACAACAATGCTTGAATGTGATTTTATTAAATGAATACTCAAAGGTGATTAATTGTCTGTGTCTGCCTTCAAGGGGACTGAGTTTTCATCCTCAATCTGCTCATTAGCAAAATATTTTGCGATTTTGAGCATTACTTTTCTCCTTCTTTTCATAGATAAAGAGGTTGAAGTGCTTATTCGTCTTGTAGCCGGAGAGCCAGATCTTCGCAACTTGGCTTGTCTTAGTGGGGTTGAGCTATAATCATGATCTTTTATTGATCTCCTCCCCTGAAGGCTCTTCCGGCTATGGTTTATCTCTTTTTGCTGCTGCTCTGTTTCTGAATCCTCCACGCTTTCTAATTCTTCCATCCTCTTGACCTCCTGCTCTTCCTCTAGCTTCAGCTCTTCAATCTCCCTCTCTACCAAAGCAGTTTCTATCTTAACCTCTCTCTCACTGGCCATTAATGCTTCTGCCCATGCCTGAGCAGCTGCCACTTTCTTGTCAGCAGTCTCTCGAGCTCCAGCTGCACATCCTGTTAAATATTCGTACTCAAATTTTGATATTGTGATGGTAGATTTTGTCTGGGAAGCCCTTGCTTTCACTGCATTTTCTACAAGGGTCTGCAATTTCTCAAGAGCATTTGCTTCTGAAGTTTTGACTACTTCTAGCGCTTTAATTACAACCTGTAGTTTCTCTTCCTTAGTATCATTTTCAGATTCAATTTTCTGAATCTCAGCCCTGATGCAGTCTGTCTCCTCTTTCAATTTCTCCTCCTCTTTCTTTGCTGCCTCCTTATCTCTTTTTAAGCTCTCTAAAGCAAGGGATAGAGATGGTAACATTGACTTAGCCTTTTCCTCAGATGCTCTGGCAACTTCTAACTTATCTTTGGCCCTTAGAAGTGTTGAGTTCATCTTCTTTATTAAATTTTGGTTTCTGCTTCCTTTTTTTCAATTTCACCCTTCTCCTTTGTCATGTTTATCAGCTCGATTCTTATTATATCCATACTACCCATAAGCTGAAACCCTTCTGCTTGGATAGTCTCCAATTCTTTCCTTGCTGCTTCCAGATCTTTTGTGACTGTCTTCAAAGCAGAGTCGTTTAAACTTACTCTTCTCTGATATTTACTGTCCATTTCCTTAATCAAATTCAGCTCATTCTGCAATACATCAACCTCTGAAACTGTAAGCTCTAGTATATCTTCAAGATATTTCATTTTCTCAATTTCATCTCTCAATATACCGATCTTTTTTCTAGTTTCAGCAATCAGATTTGAATATCTTTCCTCTTCTTCTTTCTTCTGAGCTTCAATCTCTGCAAGTTCTTTCTGTGCCTGGATTTGAGCTAGCTCAACCAAGACCTCCTCTTCTTTAGCTTCTTCAATCTCTATCCTTAATTTATCAGCAGCACTCGTATAAAACTTGAGTCTTGAACCAGCAGCATCTGCTTCTTTTTCTGCCCTGAATTTCTCTTCAACTGCTCGTTCTATCTCAAGTTTAATTTTGCTGATATCTCTTTTGACTGCTTCAACTTCTTTCACGACTTCTTCATACTGAACATTTCCTCTTGGCCAGGTAGTTCCTCAACTCTCTTCCCCTTCTGAAACTCCTTAGCCCTTAATTCCGACTCTTGTATTTGTGATGTGAGCTCCCTAACTAACTTTTTCGCCTTCAGGATTTCGAACTCAGCCTGGTTTATCTCTGACTCCGCTATTATCCTGTTTTCATTGATTTGGTTGATCCTATTCTTTGCAACATGAAGTT